AAAAAATTGGTATGGTAGAGTTGTGGGGGGATGCACGATAGCCTATCCTGGCCCATGGCCTAGTGCATGTACCCCGCGTACGCACCCCTACGCACAGTCGATCCAGCTGGACCACGGCGGCGATCTAGCGTAGTGAAGTGCAATGCCGCGGTGAACACCGATACGGCGTACCAGTCACGGCGTGCCGTTCGCTCGGGCGATCACTGCAATGCTACTCCACACCACACATCAGTCACTCATTCACTCGCAATGTAAATGAGTTCAATACAATAATATTTGATGGATTAAAACTAGTTTCTTTCTTAGCTCACGCTTCGTACATATATGGCGCACAAAGTGAGCTTTCGCCCATTATGGGTTGGTGGGTCGTTCATTATTGTTTAAGTAACGTAATTTTTTACCCAATTGGTCGTAGATTCGACTCTTGTAATTCCCAACACGTCATGGAATAAAATAATAATGATGTCTTGAATACATACAATTTGTTTGACGTTTGTATAAGTAGAGGAAGTCATCAGATACAACAGTTTTCCGTAGTTTGCGGCAAATAATGTCGTAACTAGTTGTGTCAAAGGCTTTTTTGAGATCGATAAAAGTACCCAAAATGTCTGGTTTCTTATATCCGGCACACGTTTTGTACTATACCCCCCTTCGAACTCCAACTCCGGTTACTTGCACATCTGTTAAATTTCGAGGTATACCAATACGTAATTTCTAAGTCTCGAATAGTGACAAAATATTTTATTCAAAAAGCGCAGACACATTTCTTTGCGTAAGGTTCATGTGAATAAGATGTTAAAATTTCAAATGAATCAGCCCATCCAGTTTTTATTAAGCTTGGTTCAAAAATAGCCAAACTGGTTGAGAATTGAAGAAAACATCTGTCTTGTAGCGAACGCGTTTCACGCGTCACAAATACTGTTTAAAATTTACTGACAATAAAGACTTTTGAAAAATCATTAATATTATTTCTGATTTACTTTTACAGTTCTTTTTGTAAGGATATTTAGGTGTAAAATGCTTTCTAAAAAATCGGGTGAAGAACAAACATTCGAAAATGTTCTATTACGGCGGCTAGTTTTAATCTCTTATAAACAGTCTCGTGTTGTTTTATAGAATAATCTACACCTGAATTGAAATGTGTCTGCAAATAACGCTGTAGGTTAATTGTAGAACTCAGACTAGTAATGTATTACTAGTTTGAGTGTAGAACTAGGCACGTCGATGATCTAGGCTGAACTTGAACTTGGTCGCTGGCAAATCAACAGAATTAGTTATGTAGTTGTTAAAGCTTTAGTCATTCACAGATGACCTTAGTCTGCGTTCGTTTTTTTTTTCTCTCCAAGAAACTGCAATGTTGTGACCAGTAATCGAAACATACCAACACCCCGTGATCAAGAAATTTAAAGAGTTTTAAGTTTTATATTGGTGTACAGAGTTAGTTCCTTGTAGCTATGGAAACGATAGTACTTTGCCACATCTTTTTATTACGTCATATCTTTACATTATCACACGGTAATGTAAACGTCTATTCTTTTTAAAAACGACTAAATTGAACTGAATATGTTTAATTCTCATAGTGGAGACACATACCTTACAAAACAGGGACATGCAACTGTGGGAAGTGGGAATTGACAAATGACAATAACCTCGACCCCGATAATTTATGGTGACAATCTAACAAATTCACCTATTGTGTTATCCGTAATAACTTGTACTTCGCACTTTCATAAATACCTCACCTGTTACATAATCTATATAAAGTGTATTGGGTTATTGTTTTATAGCGCGGATAACTAAAACGTAATGTGCGTAAAAATTACTAAATAGCAACCATGAATTTGCCAATTAGTAAACGATCACAAGCTGGCGCTCCAAACAAACAGTCTGCTTAACAGCGCCCTCTGTCTTGTAGAACTATTTGGCTCTCCCGAACAAGTCTGACAAATCGTTTTTCCGGACGCTGGGGAACTGAGTCAGGTCCTATTTCCATTTCTCGAAATATGGCATTGTAAATTGTTACTTGGAAGCGTTATACTATTTACGACAATAGTTTGGCAAAAAATGAAAATATAATCCGAACTGAAGATATATTGATTCAAACTCGACAAATTAACGTTATTCATGAACATCCCAGTTGGTATTTCCACATGAACAACGCGTTCGTACTTTATAATATCCAATAGTAATGGGACATTGGGGAAAGTTGAAGCCCAGGCGCATGCACAATGTGGCGTAATAACATTCATTATTTGATTATAAACTCTTTTGTTTTCAGCATGCCAATCAATTAGACAAAATTTCATAAAATACTCAATATAGAATACTCTGGTTCATATCATGTGACTGAAATGCACATTTCTTTTCATACACGAAAACAGAAACCGCCCTCACACTAAAGCCGATGAAAATCTTTCTGAGTGGCTGTGCGTTTATTGAATCACTTTGTCAACACCTCTTTTGTGTTCGTCATGCCGACAAAATGATTCCATGGCACAAAACAATGTGGTAAATAACGACTACCAAGGAGGAAGCCCTGAAACAAACGTAGATAATAGTTTTAATGACGACGACGAGGATGACGGCTAAGATTTTCCGTTAAAATTATCGCATCTAGTAGAAGATGAAGGGAACCAGTCGATGACGGAAAGAGAACAGTTTATATACAGCGCAGCGTAGCGTAAAATATCAGTGGCACATTGAATATAATAAATGGAACTGATTTAATTATTTTATCAGCTACTAGGTCCATTTATTCATACACCAATATATCGCAACTCTTAAACTCCTTCATTGTATTTAAGTAGCAGTTGGAATCTTATTATTCATTGAAACTTCAACATTTTGCACAAAAGGATGCTTAAGTAACCAACAGTACTCATGAAATCATGCTGAATAATTACCACTTTATTACCCAATAATAATAATAATAATAATAATAATAATAATAATAATAATAATAATAATAATAATAATAATAAATAACAATAATAACAATCCTTCACTTAGTTTGAACTAGATTTCATTAGGATGATGTAGTTGCAAGTTTTGTTTCCTCTACATTATGACTAAATGTTAATTCAATATCACATCAATTCACTTTATGACACATATTGGCAATGTAATGAGTTATCATGAGCTACATACGAAGATAATAAATAGTAAGTAATGAATAGTTATTGTTTACAGATTGACAGAAATGTGAACCTCAAAGCGAACCACATAATAAACAACCAGTGACCATGGCTTAGTGAAATCTTAGATTCACATGGCAATAAAATGTGTAGATATGAAAAAATGAATCATCTCGGTCTCATCAACGAGGGTCTTCGACTGACACTATCCACTGCACCTGCGAAAATAACGCAAGATATAACAGTTGAGTCTAATTGTAACAGCATCTTCGAATGCTGAATAAAATTCATTGATGATGATGTCAAAACTTGTTGAGGGCATGTTCACTTACTTTTCACTAGAAGATCTTGTGAATGGTCCGTGGGTGATAAATTGTTTATTGGTTACTTCTCCAAAGTCGGCGTCTCTTTTACGTCGTTCTTCAACGCATCCCTAAAATTACGAATGTGATTGTATTAAATGCCAGCGTTATTTATTGATTTATTTTTAAAGTTGTAGGAAGTCACATTTACGAAAGTTACACACCTGATCACAGCGTGTCCCCATATCTGCCGTTTTACAGACAACAACCGAGCAATGGATATACAGATCGACCTCCTCATCGGAGGAAATTTCGGCCTGAAAGTTGACAACGTTAAACGCATCCCAGCAATAATGACGATCACGATCATTTGGTGGTACCACATGCATCTCTACCATTGTATCGTTCAAACACCTACGAACAAAGATCATATAACATCGATATTAGACTAAAACGTTTAGGGTAATAAGCTGATGATATTATTCAGGCTATGCAATAACAGCTGCAATAACTGTCATGAATACAACCATACTGCCAAAACAATGGTTTTTAACTATATATTGTGCATTTGGTTTTTAACTGTTTTTTTTTTTTATTTTTTTTTATAAATTCACATAATTGAATCTTACCCTTCTGTAATCATAGGATATTTTGTAACTGGGGCCAGGGGATTGTCACTCTGAGACGCGAAACATTCTTCCACGAATAATTCTAAACTGTCGTCGCCGCTTTGAGTGGATATACCAAAGTATATCATGACGCCATCACACACTTGCACAGGAAAATCCACATTAGGGTCGAGAATAGTCGTAAACGATACATCCCTATACAGAGTAGCCTCGATGTTGAACGTACCAAACCCTTTCAATGATATAAAGTCAATGCTGCCGAACAGAAGTATATAAAAAAAAACATGCATTTATTACACAATCAATAATATGCTGCAATTAAATATAAGGCGAAAATAAAATTATTGTCAACATTTCACTTAATTTTAACATACCACGGATTAGTCACAATATGGAGTGCAAGAGTGTATTCAGTTTCATAACAACACATCATCTCTATGATTCTCAATCCTCTACTTGTATACACCGTGTTTGTATAATCAATGGAATTATGCTTTCCGTTTTCCTGGGAAAAAAAACAACAGTTTTATCATAAATCACTCTATTTACTATGGTGCATTTTATATTTAGGGACCTGTATATTGTGTAATGTTGTAATGTATATAGCCCCTCCGATTGTGAGGTCAGTTTGGAAATGGCTTCTTACAGTGTAAGAGATGGCGCCCTGTGATTGGCCGAGATAAGTCGGTCAGATAGTGTTGAAATTGTGAGAAGCCATGCCATGTGCCTTTGAGTCAGTTGTTTCTCAACCTTATCTGTGAGTGTGTTTTTAGCTTAACGGTAGACAATTTTGGGTTATGCAGCCCAGCAAGCGACTTCGCTGAGCATAATTAAAGATAATTAAAGACAACTAGAACTGTATTCTGAAGAGGTGTGGGATGATTGGATGGTTGGCTAGTATGATTCTATCAACCACGAGCTATGTGCTTCTCATCATAGGATATCATATTTACCATGCAAGTAGTTCCACAGGTATAAAGAAATGTTTCAAACAGAATTATGTCTCCATTATCTTCAACAATATCCACTCCAACACACGTTGGGTCGTTCAGGTGGAAGTAAGATCCGTTTTTGCCACTTAGATGTAGTAGATTTAACAGATATTCCTTCTTGATGGTTATACTCATTTTTGTATCATCACATATTATGCTGTATGATTCTGTGAAGAGATTTGTGGATAATACTATCTCACTCTGAAGATTACACGTGTAAACCATATGAACAAAAACATGTACAATTTCAAAATCTACATTCTAGCTAGATTTTCTCCATAGGATGACATATTTTATCCCATATATCATGGAAGTCTAGTATAATAATACTTTTCCATATTTCAATGCTATGTTGCATAAATATTCCGGCAATCAGATTGGTTCATGCAGGCATGATATCATGACTGAGTATCACAATATTTGACAATATTTTTTGGGTTTTCACAATATACTTTGAAATATTATATACTATAACGCGTGGGAGATATAAAGCCGAATTCATTTAGAACGTCATTCCAAACTCTTCCGCCCTCAACCTCTCCGAGCACAGACATATGTTTCACCCAAATATAGCGGCGATTTTCCACGATTTTTGTGAAAAGAAAACGGTTTGAATTGATCCCAAAATTAGTAATTATTTTTGTCATGTAGTAATTTTCACTTGTTATAAATATTATATATATAATCTCTATATATACAGATACTTGTCATATTATCAAGCCTACTGAATTATTGAACTTCCCACACTAGCATAACATTTTAAGTGAACTTTTCAAATCAAACAAGCCAACAACTAATGACGCAATGTAATGTTTAACCTTCTTTAGCAACTGAGAGACCAATTCAATCTAAACAGTAATGTTAAAATTTTCTTTGTTCACTTGTGAACCAGTATCTGAAAATACTGCTCACATACACATTTGGGTGGGGTGTACATATTCATGTGATCTTCTGTGTTTCGGAAAAAAGTACTATGAAGTATATAATTGATATTTTCTACCTGTACAATTCTCTTCATCACTGTTATCCCAACAATGCTTATGGCCATCACAAACAAGGAAATTAGGAATACACTTGGAATACTGAGTACAGTGGAATTCACAAGCTGAAAATACATAAAAATCAATTACTGGAAACCATGCATTCGGTGGTTCACATTCGTCTATGTGTAGTCTGATTTTATTAAATCCAAAATATCTGTGAATAATTAGCATATTTGCTCGGTAATAAGTACTGAACGAAGCCATAAATGTTTTGTAAATATTCTACAGTAATAGCTAATTGTACGTACACTCTCGCAACTGACTAAAATACTATCGTATTCAGTTATAGGAATCATAAGCTAACGGTATGTAATCGTCCCATTCTGTAGTCGTGATTACATTTCTGAACAATTCTAGTAGACTTCAACTAAAATGTTGTAAAACCGCCAAAAAATAAAATAAAATATTTGTATGTGCTATTTCATGCATTCCATCTTCTTCAATGGACCTATCATTTATAACTGTTCGATTTTGTGATAATATTTGTTTATAAACGCATACATATAAATGAATACACGCACCATTGAAGACATTTACAAAGAACACTTACGGCAATTAATTTCATCACTGGCATCCCCACAGTTACTCTTACCATCGCACATTAAAGTCCTTGGAATGCATGGTCCATTGTTGCATCTGAACTGATCGTCTTTGTCACAGTCTGAGGATGCAACGAACATAATGTTTAACTAGTTAGTCTGTTGGTATTTAGTATGGATTTCTTTTATGGTTACTCGTTCTTAAATTATATTTATAGTGCTTAATGAGAAACGTTCTGCACAATGATACTAATATCCGCAGCCAATTCATAATTAGTTCCAACACATAATACGATTTGATTGTGTATTCACATACACTTTGATCTGAATAAAAACTATTTACAAATGTATATGTGAAAGATCCCTACCACATATTTCGTCACTCCAGTCGCCACAACTATCAATTCCATCACATACATATTTTTCCTTGATGCATCTTTTATTAGCACAGAGGAAATAACCTTCACGACAATCACCTTAGAACAACCAAATATCTCGTGGTTTAAATTGTCAAAAAAAAACACACGATACAACAAATGATATTACACAAATGTTTCAATCTTTTGTCCTCCCATGAAAGCTTTGGATAATTGATATTAGTATTGTAATTCATATGTTTGTAGTTGTTTTCGTTTAACAGAAATACTTTACATTATTCACGCGCTTTTAAAAAAGATCAACTTCATATTTATCCGTCTTAGTAACATAGTTTTTAGTTAAATGAATACGATTTTAAAAAGCCCACATTGTTAAGTTAGTACTTAAACGTTATACGTTTTTGATTATAAATTGATGAAACTATGGAGTTAAAAAAGACCAATGATAAAATCCGATAAATATCTGTCTGGAAGTCTTATAGAATTGTGAAAAACATTCAGCTCTATACGAGGGTGCCATCGAAGGGTGTCAATCACGATTGAGCACATTTTGTGATGACAATGAACTCTACATGTCGCTAAAAGTGTATGTTCGCCTTTTGGGGGGAGAACATTTGTATAATGTTGCAATAGCATGTTCGTTTTATTTTTTTGGAAATTGTATGCAACATATACATATCAATTGTAGCGATAATGCCTTTGCAACTTGTTGGATATAATTTTGTAACGCGAGAATTATTCGTCGACCACCGTGGTTATTTGTGATATATTATATGTGTGTAAATCAACACATATACAATGCACCGGTGACGATTGTATACACTATGTTTACTGGACTACAATGATCACTGGTAAATTATTCGCCATGTTAGGTATGAAAATATGTCGTGTTATTTCAACATCAACTATATGCAATCTTACCGCAATCCCGTTCATCATTTCCACCATAACACTGATAGTATCCATCACAACGTGCTTGTGGTGAGACACATCTGTCACCATCACATTGGATTGAATCGTCATCAGAGCAATCTAAAATATAGAGTTAGCTGTTATTGCCATATTCTGTTTGTTATTGTAGTGTCTAAAAAGTCGACGTTGATTCATGCCAGTAAACCCTGCCTATATGAACATTTTTACTAACTAGAATACATCGAATATACACTCATGAAACACCAAACTATGCAAGAATGAAGTAGCTTTGTATCATTTTTGTATTGTTGGGGGTACGTTGTGGGTGCATAACTGGAATTCGACTTCTGATTACAGGCGATTCAATGAAGTCACAGATCATGTCACAATTGCAAAGAATGGTATTACCGGTGGTATCTGAGAATTGTGGTCACAAGAAGTATGATAGTTCGGCACTGAAATACATGAATATCTCAAAAGATTTCACCTCTCTAGAAGTCTATTCCAGTTGTGGTAGCTCATCACCAAACGACGACCCCACAAATACGACTCCGAGTATGTCTAGATTTCAAATAAGCAAGTCATATGTGCGACAATGGACCATTTTTTTGAAAACAAAAGTAATTACGTTAATATTCATTTTTGAATTATTTAGTAATGAACATTGTTTACGGGTTTTTAATGTCGAAGACACCAGATAATGATAAAATTGTAGATTTTCTGCCACTAAAAGTGAAAAATCTACTGTGAAGGGCACAGTTTTACAGCCACTGACCCGTGAATCTGTATAATTTAAAATGTCATTCTGGACATTGTTTCCACAATCTCATATGACAAACTAAGAAAACTAGTTTTAATCCATCAAATATTAGTGTACATGTATGTAATTTCATTTACATTGCGAGTGGACGAGTGACTGACGTGTGGTGTGGAGTAGCATTGCAGTGATCGCCCGAGCCAACAGATGTGCTTAGGGATGTGTACATGTACGTAATCGTTTCGTTATCCCATCCACAAGTGTTTTCAAACCATCGAGGTGGATGTTATTGAAACTGTTCTGTCTGTGTAATAGTTATTTTTAAATAAAAACAAATGTATATCTCTGTACTCGCGCTTTGTGTACATACTCCCACTTAGTTATCGCATATGCTCAGACAAATCACCCCGGGCTAACCAGTCACTAGACCACGACTACGACAAAGACATCAGTCGCGGAATCTAGAAATGCGCGTACTAGATGGAACGCTGCGGTCGACCGCACTTTAGCATACAGAGCAGACGACGATACCCTCACAAAAATGTCGGATTTTGATATTGAAACCCGTAATTATTGGCAATGAACCATTATATTTTTGATGTCGATTTTAGTATTAAATACTTGGTATCTAACAATTGCTTTTCTTTTTAAATAGTTTCTCCTTCCTTCGTTTTCAAAAACAACACTGTATTCATATCCATGTGTATTCGTGTAACAACTAACAGTGTTGAGAACTCCAAACAAGAAGACAGCCCTGTCCGAAAATCCCATCTGTTGCTAAGCAACCCAGCCGATGGCGGAAATACGGCTATGTTCATAGTTAAGACTCAACACCCCTGCTAACAATAGTTTCTTAACCTAAAAAATAGTTTAAAAAACACAATTAGCAATAAGGTACAGACTTACCACATCCTATTTCATCACTGAAGTCTCCACATGAATTACACTGATTACAAATACCCCATCGGTCCACGCAAAGTCCATTATCGCATTCATGAAGTAAGTATGAAGAACACTCTGTGAATAAATAAATAACAGATAAAATAATAATTATTATTAATTATCAGCACTTAATAATTAACAATTAATTGTTATGTGTGAAGGACCTGAATCTGGGAATAATTATTTCTTTAGGACAAATTAGTTGTAATATATAAGTTCAATTTTATGACTTGTTGTTTATTGTCGTTGTTTATGTTTCTTTGACAGTTAGTTGTGAGAATATTTAATTGAATAATATACAAAAGTGATTTTCACACGTGTAGCATGTTATTAAATAATCTGAATATCGTGATTATTATGATTGTTGTACATCAGCAGAATTGGGTATAATACTCATGGTGGTCGGTTATATGAAGCACGTTTAAACAAAGTTCATTCCAAAAATTCATTCATTTTCAAAAATGGTTTTACCTACATTATCACAAACCGATCTGCAATGCACTATGAAATTTTAACGATTTGTTTAATTTTAACAAAACGTATCAAATATTAAAATAAAACATACACACATACATACGTTTACAATTGTATTCATCACTATAATCGCCACATTCGTGAATACCATTACACACCATCCATTGTGGAATACACATGCCGTTATCACATTGAAAGTAACCATCAAAACAATCTAAAATTGAAACAAAGTATTTTGTGACTGTCCTGTAATATTAATGATATAATTTATTACATTTTGTTTTGGTCAGATGGTGACAAAAACGAACTGGGTAACACAAATTAAAAAAATAAAAACATTAAAAAGTAAATTATTGGGTGTTTTCAAGCTCATAATGTTTCAATTAGATAAAATTAGTGAGTCTACTGCTATTACTATGAGGCGGCGGTACGAACTTTTGAATGAGGGGTCGAGATCTGTTCACCAACCTTGCGCCGAAATCTAGACTCTGAAACGCAATTTTCTGCATTTTGAGTGGTAAATTTTGCTGACACAAAAGGGTTTCAGCTTGATTTGAGGAAACCACAAAGTATGCACGAAGACAGTACAACGGAATTATCGACCTACGCACAACCGTATTATTATACCTCTTTTCCTTCCAAGGATACACATGGGAATGCCGATATCCAAAAAATTCAGAAAAGAATCAGTGTGGAGTCCGGACAAGCCCTGAGGCTGGTGACAGCCATGTTTGTTTTTATTATTAGTGAACGCTTGCGCACATAATCAATTCATATTTTTAATTCGAATTTCATAATATGGTAGAATGAAAATACCGCGTAAAATATCGCAAAAATTCTGGCACGCTGTAACTTATGGCGTTACGGTGACAGATGCATAAAAATATGACAGAACCCCACACCCCCTCCCCGT